AAGTAAGAACAAATGTCATTCCAACTTCGCTTTGCCTGGCTGTTGAACCAAGCCCATTGTGAGTTGCAAAAAATTTATTGTATTCAAAGCAGAAATCTCATTAGACGATGAAGTAGAAGGGATTGTTAAATCAGTCAGCCGGTGGCATACACACTCAGCTCTTTGTTTTCCCACCAAAGCGGCCTCTATTCAAACCAAGCCGAGCGCAAGTGTGCGCTTGGCTCCAAAGGCATGCAGGCCTGTGGCGGAGAGAGCTGCGAGAGACTTGTCAATATATTTTGTGAGCATTAGGCAGCAAAGTGGAGTGATAGCTCTCAAGGGGGCTGCCCTTAAGCTGTTCTTCTATAAATATTAATAAGGCCCACCAGCTTGCCTGGAAGGTAGCTCGGCACATTTGGCCCGTGTCGCCGGCTGTAGTTCAGCATGTCAAGCTGTGATGGGGGAGAGGACGAGTTGACATTTAGCGACACGTCTCATTTCCAGCCCAATTTCATGATTCCCTTCTGAAATGGCACCCCGAGCTGCTGACCTAAAAAAGGAAAAGGAAGAGTCGGGGATGTATAGCCTTTTTTCCCAACACTCCGAAAGGGTCCTGCCAACAAGTGCGGTGTGCTTCCCCATGACCTTTTCATGTGAAGCACTGCAAGGACAGAAACTTTGCGCTATCCCAGAATCGAAATGCACCCACTACCTGGATTTATATAACATAACACACTAATACTAATAAATTTGTTATTCTACGTTAAGTTTTTAATGGGTCAGTCTTATTAAGGCCGCTCGTCCACTGCCGTAATATGGAGAAGACGTTAAACACTTACGGACTATACACATCCAATCAGATGCCCTAACTTATTCAAGTGCTGTTGATTAGCTAATGAGCAGCATAGCAATATTTAGCTAAGCATCTTAAATCCCTCTCATTTACAAATGCATGGCATGCTTAAGACTCACACACAGATGTACTGGACTGCATAATTATCTTTCACTAGCAAAGAATGGACTATTAAAAACCCAGCTATACATAATGCATCCGTGACTGTCACTAGTGTTTATCTTCTCACAGAGTGGAGGAATAACCTTTAAAAGAAGAGTGCTCTACTGTTTTGGTGCTTCATTTTTCTTTGCAAAATAATGTCGGGCCCTCTAAGTGCCTTTGAACTGACCAGGAAAATGCAGTGTGCGCATTCGGCTCTGGGTGTGAGTACTGAGGCGTTTAATGGCCGCCGCCAGCTCGGGCATTCAGTTGCTTTAACTACTTGCCTTTTGTTCCCATTTGGTTCAGCCTTATTTTGTCAATGCATGACTCTTGGGAATTGAGTGCACGAGCGTTTGTTGGGTTTCACTTCATGCGTGTGTCATTTCCTGTAGTAAACTATTAACTACAAAAAGAAGTTAGGAGCGGAAACAGGCAATATGACATTATGATATTAATATTATATTGTTGTACATTGCATCAAAATCAGCTTTTCTGACTGTATGATGTATATCTTCAGTACTGTTACACCACAGTACTGTATGGTAGTGTAAATAATTTTTATTTATATTAATTATCTTAGTGGTAATAGTAATAACAGTAATAAATAACGACAACGACAACAACAATAAGAAGAAGACCAACAACAATAATACTAATAATTGTTGTTGCTCTTCTTTTGGCTGCTCCTTTTAGGGGTTGCCACAGCGGATCATTGGCATATTTGATTTGGCACAGTTTTTATGCCGGATGCCCTTCCTGACACAACCCTCCCCAATTTTATCCGGGCTTGGGACTGGCACTGGGAGTGCACTGTCTTGTGCAACCCCAGTGGCTGGGGTTGGTTCTCTGGCCGGGATTCAAACCCAGGCCGCGGCGGCGAGAGCACCGAGGCCTGACCACTAGTCCTCCAGGGACCCCTAAAAATAATACTAATAATAATAGTTTTTAATATAACAACAATGGATTGTTGTTTATTAATTATTTGTAATTATAAATAATAAATTATTATCGATTATTAGAATTAATGTATATGATGATGGCGTCTCAGTTTTTTTTTTCTTGCATAAATTTTACAAAAATAGTTGTACTGACTGCATGTGGATTAAAAATAATTACAAAAAAATGACCACTTCATTTCTCAACAAATCTGGACATCACCGTGCAGTTGTCCTGTTGTGATTTAATAAAGGGTGGAAGATAAAATAAGTGTGAATGGTCTGTTAGAAGCATAAAGTGGATACAGAACAAGCAGCTAACCTGGCATGGCAAAACCTGCCCCAACGTGTGTAGATGAGTTTGGATTGTTTTGACCCTTTCTGATGGATTAAGATGAAATACTGGTACTTTTCCAGCACAGTAGACTTACAGTTGTCACAGAGTAAAGTAAAAGATTAAATATATTTCTTAGCCTAAAGATAAACTTCTGAAACTTTCCAGACCATGCATAAGTATGTAATGAGTGCATCTGAAGGCAGTACAGGATTTCAGAGTGGATTTGCTCGTCATGGCCGTTGCTTCAGTAAGGCTGCTGTTTGTTCTGGCTTCTTTAATTTAATGATTCTTTGCAGGCTGGTTCAGGACGATGAGTGCTGTATGACAAGGTGCAAAATCGCACCTCATTGATGTTTCGGAGTTTGCTCAAGATTCAAGATTAGGGTGTTAATTAATTGATAAATGATGTAGTTTGAACTTATTTTTATCTTTCATAACCTTTATGTTTACAACATTTGAGTCCAAAGAAAAGCAGCACTACTCATATTAACATAGAGTTAAGACACATTTTGTCTTTTCTATTGTGTAGAATGCTCACTGTTGCTTAGTACATCCTTTTTGTAAGAAAATACAAATACATACCCAATTCATCAAATATTACAGAAATAGTTTTTTCTTTTGTTTTTTGTTTTGTTTATGTATCTTGGGTTTTCTAAGCATTAAGACAAATCACACTGTCTTGCTCAAAATATGTGCACTCCTCCAGTACTTCTCATTGAGTTTGTGTAAATATAAGTTATTAAGAGTTAGAATGTGCAGACTGTCCTTGTGGTTAAACAGAAACCGGAGCATTTTCCCCTTCCTTTGTTCAGCATAAAACGAGAGTGTTGACAAATCATGTCATCATGTAGAAACTATCTGTTAGTGCAGTCGTTTTGTCCTACCTTGGACAAAGTATGAAGGACAGACGTAACATAAATCGTGTCTGGCTTTAACTGCTGTTTTAGCAGGAACCACAAGCCAACGTTAGCAAAAGTCAGCCCCAAGCGCTGTGGCTCAATCATGTGCATCGAGCGCTCCAATGACTTCAGCCGAATCAGAAGCTCAGACATAAGCAAACTTTATTTCATTTTCAGTGCTAGAAAATGCAGCACAGTCCTCTACGCATGTCCCATGTACTAGGATCTAAGGTTAAGCAAGGTTAATACCATTGATTATGTATGCATTAATTTCCATCAATATACTATTGAATTTTGTTTGGACAGAACTAATAGAAAAGTTTCAGAAAGTGGACATTTACTTTGATTAATTCAGGACATGCATGTCTTTCTAGAAAGCAACATCCAGTAGATATTTTTGTATTTGAGACGAGTAGTTGATTTTATGGTATTTTTTATTTACAGCTGAAAAAAGACATACATAACTTGCCTCATGAAACTAAAGATCAGCAAGAAGTGAAATGTCATAGTTTATCTCTGAATAAAATAATATACATCAGATTAGTCAGAATGGAAATAACTACACTTAATGGTCACTTTGTTAGGAACACCTGTACCCTTGCTCACACAGCTGAAGATTGGAAACACCTTGCCTGGTGTTTTTCCATTCTTCAACTCCCCAGCTTCAGTGAGCCTCTGCCCACTGTAGCCGCAGATTCCCGTTCTTGACTGATTTTCTCCTGTTGTAGCCTGTCTACCTCAAGGTTTGGCATGCTGTGCATTTTGAGATGCTTTTCTGCTCACCATGATTGTGAAAAGTGGTTATTTGAATCACCGTAGCCTTCCTGTCAGCTCAAACCAGTCTGTCCATTCTCCTCTGACCTCTCTCATCAACAAGGTGTTGTTTTTCTTACACGCCATTCTGTGTAAACTCTGTGCTTGAAAATGCCAGGAGAGCAGCGGTTTCTGAAATACTCAGACTAGTCTGTCTGGCACAGTCAAAGTCAATGAGATTACATTTTTCCCTATTCTGATATTTGATGTGAACATTAATTGAAGCTCGTGATCTGTATCTACATGAGCATATTATGCATTGTGCTGCTGGGACATGATTGGCTGATTGGATAATTACATGAACGTGTAGGTATACAGGTGTTTCTGTTAAAGTGGCTGGTGAGTCTATGTCTAAAAGTATATTTACTACATTTGCGTCGTTATTATTCATTCTGTTAGATCCAAAAGTAAATCAATAACTCCTCACGTCTATTTGAACAAATACAAGACTAGAATTTTAGGTTTGTACTAAGCAGAATCATAACAACTTGACTGAAGTACTACTTTTATAAGGTGTGAAGGTGAGTGATAATAAATGTATTACATCTCTGTGACCCATTTCTCATTTGTTAGCTCATTTTTTCCCCCTGACACCCACACCAGGGTCATGTAAGGAATTGAGAAATGACAAAATGCACCAGTGTGACTAGATTTGTGTCAAAATCCATTTCCATGAAATTTTCTAAAATTGACTAATAAAAATGCCAGACACTAAATGAGTTTAGTAATGGGCTTATTAATATTAATTCGAATCCACTGCTTTATTTCGGCATGCTAAAAATATATACCAGGATGAGAGAATTCATTCGAGATACTTCAAGGAACATGTTCAGCTATATGTAAATTGCACTCACTTGCATAATAAACCCTAATTGAAAGCAGAACTAGTTTAAGGGACGTCACATCGTGTCATATTGGAATTTGATGGGATAATGTTGATGTGTGTACAACCAGTGATTACGTCTGGCAGGAAAAAAAAAGAGAAAAATGTCAGGTTTCTCGACTGGATTGGCAAAGTGGATTGCTTGGTTGCTTCACACTTGAAATAATGATTTGTTCTTTGAAGGGTTGCAAGTTGAGTCCTTGCAAACTGCCTTAGTCCTTGAGTCTTATTTGTCTAATAAATAAAATGCATCTGCGGTATTATATAAGGCAGAAGCAGGCTTATGAATAGCTGTTTCATTCCTTTGTCATTCCCGCTACCTCCATTTTGCTACATAACCAGTAATTTGATTTGATTGAACATACTGATGATATTGATGGACTGTAGTGCTTTTGCAGTTCCCGACTGTGCTTGTGAGCATTGTACAATCCCAGTTTTGCCTAAAAGTGCTGCTTAGATGCTACAGCACATTATCTGCAACCCTGAAGCGTATTTCTGCACACTAATTCATGTTTGAAATTAAATATTAAGGATGTGGTCATTGGGGAAGAGAGATAAATCACAGTAATATGGCTGACTTGAGGAAGAGATTAATCTCGCCCCCGGTGTATTTGTGTTTGTTTTGGTCATGCGGTTGCCTTTCAAATCCCACGAAGCACAAGTCAGAATTGGGATGAATCTAATAATGTAATAAATGGCACTAGAACATTTGCAACTAGTTAACGTCTATATTCAGTGTCGTACCCGGAGACCAAAAACGTTGTGTAATAAATAGAAAAAGTGCTCCTTGTTGAATAAATAATAGAAGCACTCAGTCTAGACGAGGCGAGAGATTGAGTAGGGGGAATTCTCACGTAACCAAAGCCATCTATTTGTATTAACCCCTTATCAGCCATTACTGGCTATGTAGCATCTGTATTTAAAACCTTAGTACATTTATGTAGAAATTGCTGAAACAAATTAAGATGCAGCAGTCAAATGTATGTGTATTTTGGCCTGGTTTGATTCCTAAAATCGGGGAAATCTGTAATTTTTTACATTCTCACAAACCTGCTTGTGTAAAAAACAAAATGTTCATTTTTCCATCAAGTGTAGGATCTGTGCCAAATATTTTTTGTAATAAACCCAACAAAGTCATTCTTACTTTTTAGAATTCCTATTACTTTTGCATCAGATGGGGCTAACTGCACACTCGGGGCGTAACACAATGTCACTGTCTGTATCTTCTTAATGCTCCAAATATTCATATCTGTATCTGTGTTCAGATTTAAACCAGATGTGGGCATGGCCTAAACCAGATTTTTTTAAAAATTATTATTATTTTTAATGAATCCTACCACTACACCTCCGGAAGCACTGGAAAACGCTGGAAAAAACATAGAGGCAAAATGACAAATACGAATTCAGTTCCATTTTCCAAAATATAAGCAACTGACCAGGCAGCTACTAAGGATGAATGAATGAACAACAAATGTTCATGTTAATAAACACGGTCTTTCTTTGTCTCGCCAGCTTTATATCTAACCACTCACTCTTGCCCACATGAATGTAAAAACCTCGGCTAGCTCAACTGTTTCGTTACATATCTTTTATTATATCTGTGTATCAGACCAGAAAAGGTCAGATAGAGATGATTAAAAATTAGACAAAACCACCATCATTGTTTCTTGACTACATTAACCCTGTACCAAAACATCTATACATTTCAACTTGATATGATTCAGGTGATTATGTAGTAACAGCGGAAATGGAATAGTGCATTGTGAGCCAGCGTGATGAGCCCCGCAGCAGCAGATGCATGCTCTCAGAAGCCGAGACTGAAATGGTTTCCCGTTCCGGGAGCTCAGGCTGAAATATCTCCATGCTGAACTGGATCATCATCCTGTAGTCATGATAAAAGAGAGCATGCCTCTTCTAATCCATGTCTCTGTCTCTGGCCGCTCCACCCACCTTCTGTGAAATGATTCAGACTCGCATGGTACTGCAGCAATCCAGAACAATGTCAATGACAAAATTCAGAGAACAATTAGGATTAACATGATTAGAA